ACATCTACTTCTAGTAGTGGTGTTCAAAAGAAGGACACCAGTAGTGCTTACTCATCATTTCATCACTCTTTGTCTTCCACAAATATTGTGATGCTATTCAAGTAGAATATTTTATATACAACCTAGAAAACTCATTCATAACTTCCCAAAAAAATTCAAATGCAAGAATTTACACTTCACTTCTGAAAATTATCACCTAGATATCCTAAYGATTCCTATGTAGTGGTACATACCACCACCTGACCAGCATCTTCTGGAATYTAAACCACCATGGTGACATCCCCTTTGGAAGGGGAAAACCCACCTCCCTGGCCTTTATCAAAGCACTCCAAGACCCCAGAAACCATTAATATGATCACTCTGTCCCCTGTTGCAGGCCTTTTCCCTCAACTTGGTTTATTTCCTGTTCCTCTGGAAGTTCCTGTATCTTCCAGTCTTGACGTTGTTGTTGTTTCCAACATTTGTGCGGGACAGCAACAACAACAACAACAACAACACCCTCAGCCTCCAGTATTCGACCACCAAGACCTTTTCTGAAGAGCAAGGCCTGGAGTAGTATATGCTACATACTCAGTTTGAAAGAAAGATTCCTCAGCCTTTCCATGCACCAGTTCCAGTATTTACAGACCAAAAGATGATTCTGGTCAAGACATAGTGGTTTCCAACATCTTTGTTGGATAACAAGAACTACAACCTCATACAGCGCCACTGCAACCATTAACAATTTAACCTCCACCAGATATGGTGRGCCTAACAATACCAAGAATGTTGTTTGTTTTATCTTTTGACTAGTCCATCCCCTGGGCCATTGTACACTGTGGGTGATCTTGCCTTAATTGGCTTGGCAGTGTGCTTGGCAATAGTAGTAGTTTCCTTGTTCACTGCAGAAGGACTTGCCTTTTTTTTGGCAGTACACTTTGACATGATCATGACATGGCTCTCTTCCATCCTAACCATGAGCCAATCCTTTCATGCCTTCTGAGTCCAGGGACCTGCCTCAATTGGTGTGTCAGTATGCATAGAGGAACCTGGTTGCTCCTCCACAAACACTCCTTGGAAGGAGAYGCCACCCCTTGGAGCAGCTAGGAGTATTCTTCTCCCTAGTCAGGAAAAGTTATGGTTCTTGCCATTTACTGGATCTTCCAGTTCACAAACTCCCTTTGCGCCTCTGCAACCACTCCTTCTTGTTGGAAGGAGGCGCTACCGCTCAGAGCAGCTAGGAACATTCTTCTTGTCAGAAGTTATGGTTCTGGCTATATAGTGCCTCTTCTAGTTCATGAGGTTAAATATATTTTTAAGATTTTTTGGATTAATAATACTAGAGCAGTAAATAAGAAAATATTTCAGTAGTATTTTTTGGCAACCTGACAACTTTATAGTACTTCCTCCAGTCCAGAATATGTGTCATCATAGCACATTGAAAACAAGAATCAGCTTACTACTATCAGGGCCATTTGAATTTTTCTTTTTGTGTCATACAACTAGTCTCATCCAATAGTATTTTTATGTGCTATCCCTATTAGACTCATACTACTCATGCAATTCAAATAATCCTTCAAACAGAGCTATTTTTGGAGTACAAGTGTGGCAACAAGAAGTACAGTACAAAGAAGCCAGCATTTATGATCTAATTGCAAGCTTCTGGGACTGGACCTACACATATTGTAATGCATAATTACACAGATGRATTGAATTGCACTACTACTATACCACTATGTGAGTTATTTCACTACATCCCCATGTCTGAAAAATCATTTTACATTTTAGTACTGAATTTTGATATCCAGTGCAGGTTGGGAGACACTACCCCAACAAACACCCTTCTTTATTTCAACTTA